CTCTAAACAGTTGCTTCTGTCACTAGTTTCATGTAATTTTGGCCTCTGTCACATCTTTAGATCAGCATTTTCAAACGGAAAAGAGAGGTCAGAGACCAGAGAGAGACCAGAGAGAGACCAGAGAGAGACCAGAGAGAAACCAGGGAGAGACCAGAGAGAGACCAGGGAGAGACCAGAGAGAGACCAGGGAGAGACCAGAGAGAGACCAGAGAGAGACCAGGGAGAGACCAGAGAGAGACCAGGGAGAGACCAGAGAGAGACCAGAGAGAGACCAGGGAGAGACCAGAGAGAGACCAGGGAGAGACCAGAGAGAGACCAGGGAGAGACCAGAGAGAGACCAGGGAGAGACCAGAGAGAGACCAGGGAGAGACCAGAGAGAGACCAGAGAGAGACCAGGGAGAGACCAGAGAGAGACCAGAGAGAGACCAGAGAGAGACCAGAGAGAGACCAGAGAGAGACCAGGGAGAGACCAGGGAGAGACCAGAGAGAGACCAGAGAGAGACCAGAGAGAGACCAGGGAGAGACCAGAGAGAGACCAGAGAGAGACCAGAGAGAGACCAGAGAGAGACCAGGGAGAGACCAGGGAGAGACCAGAGAGAGACCAGAGAGAGACCAGGGAGAGACCAGAGTCATATTGGACATATTTATTAACATATTATTAATCATTACAAACATATGATTATATTAAAAAAATACAAACATATAAATCGTTTTAGTTAAAACACTAAACAGTCTCTTCTGTAAATCCCTCCTGATGTTCCTGCTGTTCGGACGTTCCTTATTCTTTGTTTAAATCTGTTTTCCAAAGACTGAATTATGTTTCCTCTCTGACTTTGTCTTGTGTAAAAGTTCATTAATGCTTTCTCCCGTGCTCAGAATTAGCTCCTCATTACACGCTGCCGTTTGACCCGTGCCCTGTGATAATGTGGCAGTCTGTGTGCGGCCCCCAGAGGCTGCCAGGGGCCCCTCTCCGCTCGATGGGCCTCAGAGGACGACAAATGAAGTGCTTTATCTACACAAACACACACACGCTTTTCAATTACAGGGGGCCTTTATCGCTCTGACACAGGGAGGGGAGGAGGGGCTGAAGGAGAGAGGGAGGAAAAGGGGAGGATCAAGGAGAGAGGGGGAGGAGAGGGGATGGGGATTCTGACTGCGGGATGAGAGAGAGCGAAAAGAGAGAGGAGGAGAAGGACAGGTGTGTAGTTACAGTGATAACGTATGACCACTGTCCAGAAAGGTCCTGGATCATCACTGTCCTTAGAACCTCCTGCATCAGAGCTGGACCACTCAGAAACCCAGGACTGAGGCTGTAGATCCTGGACTGAGGCTGTAGATCCAGGACTGAGGCTGTAGACCCAGGACTGAGGCTGTAGATCCTGGACTGAGGCTGTAGATCCAGGACTGAGGCTGTAGATCCAGGACTGAGGCTATAGATCCAAGACTGAGACTGTAGATCCAAGACTGAGACTGTAGACCCAGGACTGAGGCTGTAGAGCCAGGACTGAGGCTGTAGATCCAGGACTGAGGCTGTAGATCCAGGACTGAGGCTGTAGATCCAGGACTGAGGCTGTAGATCCAGGACTGAGGCTGTAGATCCAGGACTGAGGCTGTAGAGCCAGGACAACATGGACCGGCATCAAAGACTTTGAATGAACAATATCGGATCCTCTGGGTTTGAGTCGATCCATTTGATGAGTGGTGACAAAATTACCAAACATCTTCAGGATGTTGGCCAGTAGTAAGGACTTTAGGACAGAAGAGTAAAATGGCTTTTTAAAATCTAGACAAGACACTAGAGAGACTAGAGAGAGAGACCAGAAAGAGAGAGACCAGAGAGAGACTAGAGAGCGAGAGAGAGACTACAGAGAGAGACCAGAGAGACTAGAGAGAGAGACTCGAGAGAGACCAGAGAGACTAGAGAGAGAGACTAGAGAGAGAGACTAGAGAGAGAGACCAGAGAGAGAGGCCAGAGAGAAACCAGAGAGAGACTAGCTTGGATACCCTCAGTGTGCATCTTCATCTCATGTTGTCTTTTGCATAAAAAAGAACCCTGTGAGTCACTATTTGACTCTTTGGGCTGAGTGAGGGTGGTCCTCTCTGTTTCACATTTCCGTCTGAAAAAGCTGATCTAAAGATGTGACAGAGACAGAGATACATGAAAGTAGTGATAGAATCAACTGTTGTAGAGCCAGGGTGACCAGACCTGGACCAGACTAGAGCCAGAACAGAACCAAACACTAGTGACAGAAGCAACTGAACTGGATACATGGTTCATATCGTGGTCTGGGAGTTACGTACCTCAGCTTTAATGAGAGTGTCCAGTGTGACCAGGAGTCGCGGTGTGGATGTGTGTCCAGCTCTGGTTCAGAGTGAAGTGAGCCTCAGCACATTCCAGCTCCCACTGTCTCTGCAGCTCGACCAACACAGTACTCACAGAACAGAACCACAGCGGGACGAGCCCAGGAGCTGTGTTTGGGTGAGTGAAGCTCAGAGTTTGGGCTGTTGCATGTGTTGCTCTTTCCTTTATAAAGTTTCCCTTGTGAAAACATATGAGAACAGAGAGAGAGACCAGAGAATCAAACAGTTCGAACACAGGAAATACCATAACAAACACATGGTCAATTGTCCACAGGGAGCGGGATGAACACTGTCCAGAAATGATATCAAATGTCCTGGATCATCACTGTCCTGAGACCCTTCTGCATCAGAGAGAAACCACTCAGAAACCCAGGACTGAGGCTGTAGATCCAGGACTGAGGCTGTAGATCCAGGACTGAGGCTGTAGACCCAGGACTGAGGCTGTAGACCCAGGACAGGCTGTAGATCCAAGACTGAGGCTGTAGATCCAGGACTGAGGCTGTAGATCCAGGACTGAGGCTGTAGACCCAGGACTGAGGCTGTAGACCCAGGACTGAGGTTGTAGATCCAGGACTGAGGCTATAGATCCAGGGGGATCCTGGCGAGACAGTCTGCTGGTACATGTTAAAGAAGTCATAATAGTCATACTGATGACAGATGAAGTAGAAGCTACCAGACTTCTCCAGCAGGGGGCTCCACATGCAGCTTGACCAGTGGGGGCGGGTCCCAGCTCAAAAGTGGCCAAAATGATGTGCGCTGACATGCTTGCAATACCACCCCGGGCCGATGGGGGTGGACCCAGAAGGAGAATTATCCAATGCTAACATATAGCATTGGCAGACCTCTCAAAAACGTCTTTACAGGATGGACCAGAAGTTGGTTCTTGGCCCAAAGCTCCGTTCCACATGTGTGTCAATGCTGAGGGGGGTACATTTTTTTGGTCCACTCTAGTTTACTCGAGGTGAATTTTTGAAGTCTCTCGTTCAAATGAATGGAGCTGCGCCGGCTGACGCATGCGCAGATGCGTTTTTTCTAGGACTGTCAAACGATAAAATTTTTTTAGTTGATTAATCGCATATTAATGGTGAGTTAACTCACGATTAATCGCATTTTTAACATTCTATTTCAAATCCACTCCGATTGAAGTTAAATGAGATCTTCAAATGTAATGATACATTGTTATTCAGACCAAATGTACTTAAATCTGTTTGACTTGCTCACAAACATCTACTTTTGGGTACAACCAACAAGATCTGTTAATGAAAGGGAAAATGTAGGTACCCCAGCGTTAATTTTGCGAGTTTGGTTGCATTTCAGCGTGTCTCCTCCTCTCCTTCGTGTGTCACACAACATCAGAGAATGGCCCCTGTGCGTGTATATGTATGCGTGTATTATATGACCATGTTAAGGCTTAAACACCTAAAACTTAACCAGTCACCATTTAAGGACATATTAGTCTAAAATTAATTTGAAAGTAGGATTGTTACTTCCGGTTTCGTCCCGATTCCGTATATGATCTAGTGCCGACCCATGTGCATCTAGCTGTTTTCAAACCATTCATAGAGCAATGCTGCCATCTGCTGGCTTGATAAAATATTGCCTCAAGCCTTACATATTTGATACAATAGACATCTGGGAACGTGAAAATAGCGTTTCCCGCTATTCCCGCGGGATTTGAACCCAGGACCTTCTTGCTGAGAGGCGAGAGTGCTATCCACTCAGCCACCGTGCCGCCGGTGCCAATGGCACAGACTGGTTGTCTCGCTTCCTACAGTGTGCCCCAGGGCAGCTGTGGCTACAGCAGTAGTTTATCACCACAGTGTATGGAGAGAATATTATTGCTGTGAAGAGTAAAAATCCCCCATCACTACATGAGCTGACAACTATGCCAATTACTGTTGAGTTGATCCATTTCTCTTCTGTAATTACAGTATTTTTCTGCTCCCCTCCCACAGGTCAGGGGCCCCTCCCACAGCGGTCTGGGGCCCAGGGCCACATCCACACTGTTCCTTTGTCACAGTCAGAATGCACAAAGCTCCACTGCGTCGCAAGCTCCACCTATGGACTCTGTGTACAGTGATACACACAGCACAGTTCAGAGGACTGTCTCTCTCTGGTCTCTCTCTGGTCTCTCTCTGGTCTCTCTCTGGTCTCTCTCTGATCTCTCTCTGATCTCTCTTTAGTCTCTCTCTAGTCTCTCGCTTCAGCAGTTGTGAGGGTTTTACAACCATAAAACAAACAGATTGACCTTATACTGGGTTATTTTTAGAACACATCACCCCTGTCTGTGTTCGACAGTAAATATACTGTATGGGAGACTGGTCCAAGTTTGAGACACACACACAAACACACACATTTGTACAAAAACATTTATTATTAACTTACATCATTTAAATATGCAAATACAAATATAGTGCTATAGAAAAATAAATACAGAAAAAATATTCAAATAAAAAAATTAAATAGAGCAAAGGCCGTGTCCAGTGGAAACGTTGTCTTGAACAGAGAGAGAGAGACACCAGTGAGAGAGACAAGAGAGACACCATAGAGAGAGACACTAGAGAGAGAGGGATACCAGAGAGAGAGAGTCACCAGAGGGAGAGAGACACTCTGGTCTACTGCAGAAGTCGATGGTCCTACTACTGCAGGACTGAGGACCTGGGCTTCCGTCTGCGGAGGGAGTTGTAGAAACAGTCCTCGTTGATGATGGACGTCAGACTCTGGACGCTGAAGTCCCGGTCCAAAGCCCCGCCCATCTCCACCAAGCTCCGCCTCCACTGCTTCAGGCACCGCCCCTCCTCGCCCACGTGTAGCCGCTGAAGCTGGTCCTCCAGCTGGTCCTCCTGGAGGCGGTATGAAGGTGTGGAGTTGAGGGGAGGAGGGTGTGGAGGAGGAGGGTCATGGCTGATGAAGGAGCCCAGAGCCTGCTGAAGGAGCGACTTGCCCTCAGCGTCACTGCAACACAACAGCCACGTTCAAACTCTGTCTGAAGGAACGGAAAGTTAAAATACAGAAAGGTGTCGGACCTGAAGCTGAGACTGAAGACTGTCTCCAGGTCCACATCCGAGTGAACGAGATCCAGGTCTGAGTCTGGAAACGAGAAAGACCAGATTGAACCAGGACTGAACCAGAACTGAACTAGGAAAAAAGCATGTCTAAAGCAGGACTGAACCAGGACTAAAGCAGGACTGAACCAGGTTTGAACCAGGACTCCACACACCTGTGATGCTGTCTCTGATGTGAGCTGCAGACGCTGGGATGATCCATTTGAACCTGACGGGATCCAAGTCTGAGCGGGTCACCTGGACACCAGAGGTCATCAACATACAGACCAGAGAAAGACCAGACCAAGTACAACAAAGATAAAATACTAAAGACCATCAGAGACCACTCACCAGACGCTTCTTGACTTTGGGGTCTTTGAAGACAAGGATCACGGCCTGTTTGAAAACTGTAGCGGGAAATAAAGTATGAATTAGAACTCTACTCTGCTCTTACTCAGAGACCAGACCAGGGACCAGAGACCAGGCCAGAGAGAGACAAGACCAGAGACACGACCAGAGACCAGACCTTATACCCCACCAGGGACCAGAGAGAGACTGACCAGAGAGCAGACCTTTGACCAGACCAGGGACCAGAGAGAGAAAAAACTAGAGACCAGACCTGCGACCTCACCAAGGACCAGAGAGAGAAAAGACCAAAAACTAGACCAGGGACCAGACCAGACCAGAGTTCAAACAGGTCTTCTCTCTGATTTCAGATTTTCTCACCAAAAATGTCAAGTTGTGGATCTTTCCTCATTCGGCCCAAACTCGGAGCAGGGTTTAACCAGAGCGCAGAGGAACGCAGCAGGAAGTCTCCCATGGACAGATCTGCAACCTGCAAGTGATACAAGATACACGGGTCAAATACTACTGCTACTACTGCTGCTGCTGCTACTACTACTGTCACTGCTGCTGTGAAAGAAAGAGCCCTGTGAGTCACTATTAACTTTTTTGTCTGGAAAATCGGATCTAAAGATGTGACTGAGACAGAAATACATGATGTGAAAACTAGTGATGAAGCCATGGGTTTCAATAGCGTTCTGGTGCTGTGGTCTAAAAGTTAAGTACCTCAGCTTTAATACATGTTAAAGATTGTAACCCAAAGAATGACGTATGTATGTATTTATATATGTATACACACTGATATATCTGTTAATGGGAAAAAAACTCTTCACTACAACTGTAATGTCACACTCTGTACTCTGTCTCCCTCTACAGGCCACAGTCTGCAGCTGCGACTGACAGAATGTGTGCTGTGCTTGTTCTGCCCAGCCAGCAGAGGGCGCACTTCCTTCTCTGCATCTGTGAGTGTAGCGCTGTCCCAGTGCTGTCTCTGTGTCTCTGTGAGTGTGGTGCTGTCTCTGTGTCTGTGAGTGTGGTGCTGTCTCTGTGTCTGTGAGTGTGGTGCTGTCTCTGTGTCTCTGTGAGTGTGGTGCTGTCTCTGTGTCTCTGTGAGTGTGGTGCTGTCTCTGTGTCTCTGTGAGTGTGGTGCTGTCTCTGTGTCTCTGTGAGTGTGGTGCTGTCTCTGTGTCTCTGTGAGTGTGGTGCTGTCTCTGTGTCTCTGTGAGTGTGGTGCTGTCTCTGTGAGTGTGGTGCTGTCTCTGTGTCTCTGTGAGTGTGGTGCTGTCTCTGTGTCTCTGTGAGTGTGGTGCTGTCTCTGTGTCTCTGTGAGTGTGGTGCTGTCTCTGTGTCTGTGAGTGTGGTGCTGTCTCTGTGTCTCTGTGAGTGTGGTGCTGTCTCTGTGTCTCTGTGAGTGTGGTGCTGTCTCTGTGAGTGTGGTGCTGTCTCTGTGTCTCTGTGAGTGTGGTGCTGTCTCTGTGTCTCTGTGAGTGTGGTGCTGTCTCTGTGTCTCTGTGAGTGTGGTGCTGTCTCTGTGTCTCTGTGAGTGTGGTGCTGTCTCTGTGTCTGTGAGTGTGGTGCTGTCTCTGTGTCTGTGAGTGTGGTGCTGTCTCTGTGTCTGTGAGTGTGGTGCTGTCTCTGTGTCTCTGTGAGTGTGGTGCTGTCTCTGTGAGTGTGGTGCTGTCTCTGTGTCTCTGTGAGTGTGGTGCTGTCTCTGTGTCTCTGTGAGTGTGGTGCTGTCTCTGTAAGTGTGGTGCTGTCTCTGTGTCTCTGTGAGTGTGGTGCTGTCTCTGTGAGTGTGGTGCTGTCTCTGTGTCTCTGTGAGTGTGGTGCTGTCTCTGTGTCTCTGTGAGTGTGGTGCTGTCTCTGTGTCTCTGTGAGTGTGGTGCTGTCTCTGTGTCTCTGTGAGTGTGGTGCTGTCTCTGTGTCTGTGAGTGTGGTGCTGTCTCTGTGTCTCTGTGAGTGTGGTGCTGTCTCTGTGAGTGTGGTGCTGTCTCTGTGTCTCTGTGAGTGTGGTGCTGTCTCTGTGTCTCTGTGAGTGTGGTGCTGTCTCTGTGTCTCTGTGAGTGTGGTGCTGTCTCTGTGTCTCTGTGAGTGTGGTGCTGTCTCTGTGTCTCTGTGAGTGTGGTGCTGTCTCTGTGTCTGTGAGTGTGGTGCTGTCTCTGTGTCTCTGTGAGTGTGGTGCTGTCTCTGTGTCTCTGAGTGTGGTTCTGTCTCTGTAAGTGTAGTGCAGTCTCTCACCTGTCCATAGGGGGCGCTGCTCTGTGCCGTCAGTCTCTCGAACACAGATCCAAACTCCTCGTAGATCTTCTGCATCTCGTTGATGTGGCAGGCGACCTTCTGCATGGACCTCAGCGCCTCTGAGGGAACAGTTTAGTGACTTTTACTTTCACTGTTTATAGATAGAAGTTCATTCAAAGTCAAATGTTTATTTTAAACCTGCACAAACACATTAACAGACAGATTTGCCATGATAGCATATCGTATATGAGGTAAGGCCCATATTTCACTGCCAGATCTCTCCGTTCCCTCTGGTCTCTCTCTGGTCTCTCTCTGGTCTCTCTCTGGTCTCTCTCTGGTCTCTCTCTGGTCTCTCTCTGTTTTCCTGGTCTCTCTCTGGTCTCTCTCTGTTTTCCTGGTCTCTCTCTGGTCTCTCTCTGTTTTCTCTTGTCTCCCTCTGGTCTCTAAGTTAAATCTGTCAGGTGAGTCTTTCGTCTCTCTCTTCCTGGTCCCTGGTCTCTCTGGTCTCCCTGGTCTCTCTGGTACCTGTCATGTGTGTGTTCTGTCTTCTCCCTGTCTTCTCCTCGTTCAGACACTCCAGTTCTCTCTCTCTGGTCTCTGGTCTCTAGTCCCTGGTCTCTGGTCTCTGTTCTCTCTGGTCCCTGATCTCTGGTACCTGTTAGGTGTGTGCGTTCTGGTGTCTTCTCCTCGGTCAGACAGACCAGTTCTCTCAGCAGCAGTGGATACTTCAGGACTCTTTGAACTGGCTTGATCAGGAATGACTCCAGAGACGCTGAGTGCTGATTGGTCGGATTCCTCGTATCCAGGAAGTGTTTGAAAGCTGCGTCTGTTTTTGCTGCAAAAGGAACAAAACATGATGTGCGTGTTTAACAAGCCCTGGTGATCCATACATAAGGACTGAAAGATTAGCAGAACTCTCCCATATTTGGGCATTGTCCTCCCGGTTCTGCGCAGTCGATGAGCTCCCATGAAGCTTTGTGCCAAATACGCGTGGCCAATCAGAGATGCTGATTAGAGCGGAGCGAGAGTAGAGCGAGAGCGGAGCGAGTTTGTTGCATTAAAAAGTGGATTTAAAGAAAACCAAAGAATTTATGGACAAAAGGATGACAAGGGACACTAAAATCCCCCAAAAATCCGATATTTCTGAAAGCTGTAGGTTCTCTGTCAGGTTCTCTGTCAGCTGAGGGGGAGCTGTTTTAGTTTACATTCAGTTCAATGGGACTTTTTTCTGGGTAGCCCCATGGGTGGGACAGCTATGAGCTAGTAATACCCTATCCAGTTATTATTATAGATCTATGGTGTTTGTGTGTGTGTGTATTGTTTGTATGTTTGTGTGTGGGTGTGTTGTTTGTCTGTGTGTGTGTTACCTCGGCTCAGAACTTTCTGGACTCTCAGGTGGTTTGAGCAGAAGCCGCTGTAAAGTTTGAAATGATCAGCGTAATACAGGAACGATCCTCCCAACGAGAAAAGCAGCTTCTGTAGAAAAAGACCTGCGTTAGTCCTGCTTTAGACCTGCTTTAGACCTGCTTTAGACCTGCTTTAGTCCTGCTTTAGACCTGCGTTAGTCCTGCTTTAGACCTGCTTTAGTCCTGCTTTAGACCTGCGTTAGTCCTGCTTTAGACCTGCTTTAGACCTGCTTTAGTCCTGCTTTAGACCTGCTTTAGACCTGCTTTAGTCCTGCATTTAGTCCTGCTTTAGACCTGCGTTAGTCCTACTTTAGTCCTGCTTTAGTCCTGCGTTAGACCAGCTTTAGACCTGCTTTAGTCCTGCTTTAGACCTGCGTTAGTCCTGCTTTAGACCTGCTTTAGACCTGCTTTAGACCTGCTTTAGTCCTGCTTTAGACCTGCTTTAGACCTGCTTTAGTCCTGCATTTAGTCCTGCTTTAGACCTGCGTTAGTCCTACTTTAGTCCTGCTTTAGTCCTGCGTTAGACCAGCTTTAGACCTGCTTTAGTCCTGCTTTAGTCCTGCTTTAGACCTGCTTTAGTCCTGCTTTAGACCTGCTTTAGTCCTGCTTTAGTCCTTCTTTAGACCTGCTTTAGTCCTGGTTCAGTCCTGATCTTACCCTGGTCTTTGGCCTGCTCTCTGGTCTCAGTCCTGGTCTCTGGTCTATGATCTTACCCTGGTCTCTGGTCTGCTCAGGTCTGGTCTCAGGTCTATCTCCTGCTCCAGCGTCTGTAGAAAGACTCTCTGAAAGTCCAACATGGCCGGTAAACTGCCAAACAGCGCCTCCATCTGGAAGAGACACAGAATTTAGGGAGACCAGAGATAGACCAGAGAGAGTCCAGAGAGACCAGAGAGAGAGAGAGAGACCAGCGGGAAAGACCAGAAAGAGAGACCAGAGAGAGAGAAAGACCAGAGATTGTCCAGAGAGAGACCAGAGAGAGTCCAGAAAGACCAGAGAGAGAGAGAGAGAGACCAGCGGGAAAGACCAGAAAGAGAGACCAGAGAGAGAGAAAGACCAGAGATTGTCCAGAGAAAGACCAGAGAGAGTCCAGAGAGACCATAGAGACCAGAAAGAGAGACCAGAGAGAGGCCAGAGTGAGACTGACCTCGTGTTGTGAGAGGAAGGACTGGTGTTGCAGTGGCGTGAGGTACAAGTCGAAGAGGAGAGACAGGTCCTGAGGATCACATAGAGCAATAAACCACAGATTTAAGGCCAAAATGGAGAGTGTGACACAAACGTTACTGAGTTGGAGGAGTTTACTTTTACATGGAAGTCAATAGGAGCCAGAGAGAGGAGCGAAACTTCATCCACGAGCACTTCCCTACTGAGCTAGCGGGTTTATACTGTTCATCTCTTTCTGGTCTCATTCATGTAATTATGAATGTAAAATAATCCAGAGGGACTTCGAACGGCCCTCACCTTCACGTAGGATTTCTCCGTCTCCAGCAGCTCTTCCAGAACCTTCCTGATTCGCTGACACACGCTGAGGTGGGCGGGGCCTGGCGTATGAAGCTCCGCCTCCCTGTACGGCGCTACCTCCGCGTCGGCCGCTCGACATTCTGGGAAGATCTGGTACAAGGAGTTGACCCGATCTGAGGACTGAGGGAGAAGACTTTCACATCATGGTGTGCTACATGTGTAAATGCAGCAAGACACAGTTCTCTGGTCACTCGCCATTAAAGCTGGGGTATGTAACATTAAAGCTCGGGCACGTAACATTAAAGCTCGGGCACGTATCACAAGAATCGCCACAACAATAGAACTCTGAAACAAACCCATGTCTCTTGTTCCTGGATCTATAACAGTCAATTCTGTCGCTGGTTTTATACATGTTTGGCCTCTGTCACATCTTTAGATCAACTTTTTCATACAGAACAATCTCTGATCTCTCTCTGGTCTTGCTGGTCTCTTCGTGGTCTCTCTCTTGTCTCTTTCTGGTCTTTCTGGTCTCTCTTCTCTTTTTCTGGTCTCTCTCTGGTCTCTTCCTGGTCTCTCTCTTGTCTCTCTCTGGTCTTTCTGGTCTCTCTCTCTGGTCTCTTCCTGGTCTCCAAGTCTCCTGCTTGTACAAACCAGACTGCGGAAAAGTCTTGATTTTAAAATGAAAAACAAGTCTGAGCTGGAGAAGCTGTAAAGTGGGACCACATCTGTCGCAACAAGATTTAATTAAAGTTATTATCTCTGTCATGTGAGAAAAACATATTTTATACATCAGAGACAAGCAGGAGCAGGTCTGAGAGTCCTGGTTCTGTACTGCTTTAGTCCTGCTTTAGACCTGGTTTAGACCTGGTTCAATCCTGGTTCAGACCTGGTTTAGACCTGGTTCAATCCTGGTTCAGACCTGGTTTAGACCTGGTTCAATCCTGGTTTAGTCCTGGTTCAGACCTGTTTTAGACCTGGTTCAATCCTGGTTTAGTCCTGGTTCAGACCTGGTTTAGACCTGGTTCAGACAGAGTGTTGTGTCAGACTCTTTGGGCTGAGGGAGGGGTGTCCTCGCTTTTTCTAGTCTCTCACTTGAAACTAGTGATAGAAGAAACTGTTTTAAAGCCAGAATGAGTCTCTCTATTGTTGTTGGTTGAAAGTTACAGACCTCAGCTTTAAAGAGAAACCACTCTGTCTTCTCACCATGAGCACTGAGCCTGTCTCCCAGCGCATGCAGCAGTTTGTCTCCTTCTCTGTGGCTTTCCTCCTCTCTTCCTTCTCACTCCTCTCTCCTCCCTCTTCCTTCTCCCTCCTCTCTTCTTCCTCTCCCTCCTCTCTCCTCTCCTCTCCTCCTCCTCCTCTCTCACCCTCCCCCTCGTCCTCCCCCCTCTCCCCCTCATCTTCATGGGGCAGTACCCAGCATAGGGCGCCCAGGGTCACAGGGCGCTTCCGGGACAGAGGAAGTGAGAACGATGTCTGGACGAACATTTCAGACTCTTCGTGTGATCATTCGTTACAGCTAATGCTAGTAGCTATTTGGCGTACAGATAACATCCATTGGTCCATTTTGCAGCGTTCTTTGGAAACTCCACAAAAGTCACTTATATAAAATCCACAACTGAAATGTTGTCCAAAAAAAATCACCGATTTTTTTTTATTTTTCCAATTTAGCCCATCCAGCCCATCCCAAACCTTAGGAATAATCCTTGGAAGTTTGTCCTTTAATGCTAAATTATTGCCAAATATTCTCAGACATTCTGTTAAAATCCAGTGTAAATGTAAATCTTTTCGAGCTGGGATCTGAATTCAGTACAATCTGGGCCAAAACTCCCAGAGATTTTGATAAAGTCTTTCTTTGCTCCATCGTTACATAATTCCTGGTCAAAAATGTCAATAATGGGTTTATTCTTCTAAATTTGTGCCTGTTTTAGACAGCATTAGTCCTGCTTTAGTCCTGCTTTAGACCTGCTTTAGACCTGGTTTAGACCTGCTTTAGACCTGGTTTAGACCTGCTTTAGTCCTGGTTTTTTCAGTTTTGTCAAGCCAATAGTCTTTTTCAATATTCCTTGGAATAAATGTCCAAAATTCTAAAATCTTGTCTCATATTTGCTGATGATCTGTAAGAATCCAGAGTATGTTGCTTGTTTAGTGGTAGAATTCCTTCAGCCATAATCCCCACTGTTTTCCATGGACTTGTCTCTTGTTTCGGTCGATATTTTGATTATAAACTCCACATCCTCCTCGTCGTCACCGTCTCCAGGTCTTCGTCTCTGTCAGATTCTCATTAATCCATCAGTAATTTGTTTGTTTAGTCTTGTTTTGCTGCGTGCGGCGGCGTCCAGACGGTGTGTGTGACTAAAGTAGATTAAGGTCACGTGACAGTAACAGAGAGGATTGTGGGTAACGAAGGATTATGGGAAGTTAAGGGTTAAGAGGACTGAACCAGGTCTAAAGCAGGACTAATGCAGGACTAAAGCAGGCCTAAAGCAGGACTAAAACAGGTCTAAAGTAGGTCTAAAGAAGGTCTAATGCAGGACTAAAATAGGTCTAAAACAGGACTGAAGCAGGTCTAAAGCATGACCTTTCTTAGAAATAACATTGAAGTCATACCTGTTCAGCTTCCATATTCAAAGGATCCTTTGAATCTTGGGTCCAAGAATCTGTAAAAAATAAATGTATAAAAATATTTAAACAACACTGGGTTTAAAGCTGACGTCTGTAACTCGGTGTATGCTTGTTGAATATATTAACAACAAAACACTTGTTTTAAATACCTGTATCTCTGAGGTCATGTGATGGGGTTGCTATCTCCTGATTGGCTGGCGGGTCTGGTGAGGCATTGCGTCGCCGTAGGAACAGCAGCAGCGTCCTGTGGCTGAAGACGCTCGGGATTAAGTCGAGATCGAGACGAGAGACAGATGCTCCATTCACCGAGAGAACCTGGTCTCCTACTGCCAGACCTGAGGGAGAGACCAGAGAGAGACCAGGTGAGACCAGAGAGAGACCAGGTGAGACCAGAGAGAGACCAGATGAGACCAGGGAGAGAGCGAGGAGAGACCAGGTTTAGACCAGGTTTATACCAGGATCAGACTTAGTTCAGACCTTGATTGGCTGACAGTCCGTTTGGATCCACTTGACTGATGTAGATGTGGCTCCGCCCCTCTTTGTCGACCTGACCAATCACAGCAAAGCCTGAAGAGAGAAATGCTAAACTTACAAACTCTCAAACACATGAAAATACAAACAACAGTAGAAGCAGTTTTACCGTAGTCAAGATTAGAACTGGTTCGACTGAGCTGTAAAGTCAACTCTTCTTGTTTCTCTTCTTCAACCTAAAAGAGATTTATCATTATAATTAAACTATTTAGTATGAATTAGTTTGAATGAATCTTGGATTTATTTGTGAGGAAATGTGATTTTTAAAGGTTGGACTTGGATGTTAAAGTCTTACCGCCGCAGTTGTAACAGCCGGATCCTCTTCGCTTTGATTTTGTGTAGATTTCACTGCAGACTTGAAGCTCCGCCTCCTTCTGATGCTGCGTCCAATCAGACTTCGCCTCTCCCGGCTCTGACCAATCAGAGTGTGGCCATGCCGTCTCAGGGTGGCCTGGTCTCTGCTGCACACCTGTACTCATGAGAGAAGAAATGTGTAATAGCAGTAGCCGTAGTAGTAGTAGTAGTAGTCTTAGTAGTAGTAGAAGTATTAAATGCCTTTTTCACTTCTCAACGGAAGGTACATTAAATAATACCGCTTCTATTTGAGAAATCTTCCATCACAGTACTAACCAGGCCCTGCCCTTCTTAGCTTCAGAAGTTATGGTCCTCTCTCTCACCAGTGCGTGCAGGGTTGAGACGTTGAACAGCCCCATTTTTCCCAGCATGCTCTTGGAGGCGCGGGAGGCGGAGCACAGAGGGTTCTTGGGGTTGGGCAGCTCCAGACCCTGAAGACTGCAGAGGTACGACCTGAACCTGAACAGGTCCAGACTGAGGCTCTCCACGCTCTGCTCCCAGCGGCTAATCTGAAAAGACACAGTAGAAACTTTAGAGAGAGCCCTGTGAGTCACTCATTGACTCTTTGGGCTGAGGGCGGATTGAGGGTGGTCCTCTGCTTTCATTTTTCTGTCTGAAAAAGTTGATCTAAAAATGTGACGGAATCTAGAAATACATGAATGTAAAAGAGAGAGAGACCAGAGAGAGAGAGAGAGAGAGACCAGAGAGAGCAGAGAGAGACCAGAAAGAGAGACCAGAGAGCAGAGAGAGACCAAAAAGAGAGAGAGAGACCAGAAAGAGAGAGAGAGAACAGAGAGAGAGCAGAGAGAGACCAGAAAGAGAGAGAGAGAACAGAGAGAGCAGAGAGAGAGACCAGAGAGCAGAGAGAGACCAGAAAGAGAGAGAGAGACCAGAGAGAGCAGGGAGAGACCAGAGAGAGAGACCAGAGAGCAGAGAGAGACCAGAAAGAGAGAGAGAGACCAGAGAGAGCAGAGAGAGACCAGAGAGAGCAGAGAGAGAGAACAGAGAGACCAAAGAGAGCAGAGAGAGACCAGTCTATGCCCTCGGTGAAGCCAACCTGACGCTGATACTACTACAGGTTTGTTTTCGTTCACGGTCCCATGGTAGGTGTTTTATTCTCTAGGAAAACAGATTGTGTAAATCATGCCATAGAAGTTCATAACCATCAAGGCTGCATCAAGTTCATATTGGTTCATAGTGGTCATGATGAGTAAAGGACATGTTATGGGCCACTAAAAATGGTCTTGTGTACTACCACCACTACTACTACTACTACACTGCAAAAAGTGATAAAATATGAGGTATAACTGTACATTTTTATCTTCATCTGACACATTCTTACTGCCTTAAAACATGATTCTCCAACGAGACGAAGACATTAGTGTTATTTCAAGAACTGTTGCTTTATTTTCACATTCCAAAGGGGGACATGAGAGTGAAGAGAAGGAAGGAAGAGAGGGGAGAGAATGAGAGGGATTGAAGGAAGGAGGAGAGGAGAGGAGGAGAGGGATTGAAGGAAGGAGGAGAGGGATTGAAGGAGAGGAGGAGAGGGATTGAAGGAAGGAGGAGAGGGATTGAAGGAGAGGAGGAGAGGGATTGAAGGAAGGAGGAGAAGGGAGAGGGATCTTTTTTCGAACAAAATCATATTTCTTGTCCCATTGGAAGATCTAGTTTTAAGGCGGTAAGAATGTATTCAAATTAAGATATTTTTTTCAATATTTGATCACTTTTTGCAGTGTACTACTACACTTGTGAGAGAGCACAGTCTGGCCTCACACACACTTCCTGTGAGAAAAGCCCAAAACAAAAGCAGGAAAACACGAGGGGAAGAACGTTATGTAACAGAACACATCACGAGGAACAGGCTGAGGTCTGAAGTCTCGGTCCAGACCAGGACTGAACCAGGTCTGAACCAGGACTGTACCAAGTCTAAACCAGTCTCACACAGGCCCCCAGTGTTTCCAGTTGTCCCAGACCTCTCCTCTTTTGGGGAGGGCTGGTCTTCGGTCTCAGGTTTCGTCTTTCGCTCCTGGCAGCGTTCTGAGGGCGAGGACCTGGCTTTTCTACGGCAACATAATGTCAACACTGGTATTTACTGCGACGACGTGGAAACTCAGGGGAAACGTGGAAAAAATGTGTTGAAAACCACCGCCCAGTGCCCAATTCTGTGGCTGAGGCTTAACGGGGAGAGGGGGAGAGGAGGAGAGGGAGGGAGGAGAGGGATAGAAGGAGAGGGATAGAAGGAAGGAAGAGAGGGAGGAGAAGGAAGGAGGAGGAGAGGGAAGAGAAGGAAGGAGGAGAGGGATAGAAGGAAGGAGGAGGAAGGAGGAGAGGGAAGAGAAAGAGAGGGAGGAGAGGGAAGAGAAGGAAGGAGGAGGAGAGGGAAGAGGAGGAAGGAGGAGAGGGGAGAGAAAGAGAGGGAGGAGAGGGAAGAGGAGGAAGGAAGAGAGGGGAGAGGAGGAAGGAGGAGAGGGGAGAGAATGAGAGGGAAGAGGAGGAAGGAAGAGAGGGAAGAGCAGGAAGGGGGAGCGAAAGAGAGGGGAGAGGAAGAGGAGGAAGGAGGAGAGGGGATAGAAGGAAGGAAGAGAGGAGGAGAGGGAAGAGCAGGAAGGGGGAGAGAAAGAGAGGGATAGAAGGACGGAAGAGAGGGGAGAGGAGGAAGGAGGAGAGGGAAGAGCAGGAAGGGGGAAAGAAAGAGAGGGAAGAGGAGGAAGGAAGAGAGGGGAGAGAAAGAGAGGGATAGAAGGAAGGAGAGGAAAGAGAGGGATAGAAGGAAGGAGGAGAGGAAAGAGAAAGAGAGGGATAGAAGGAAGGAGGAGAGGAAAGAGAAAGAGAGGGATAGAGGGAAGAGAAGGAATGGGGAGAGGTCCTAAACTAAGTCTCACTTGGTCCTTATCTCACCTGGTCCTAAACTAAGTCTCACTTGATCCTTGTCTCACCTGGTCCTAAACTAAGTCTCACTTGGTCCTTGCCTCACCTGGTCCTAAACTAAGTCTCACTTGGTCCTTGTCTCACCTGGTCCTAAACTAAGTCTCACTTGGTCCTTGCCTCACCTGGTCCTAAACTAAGTCTCACTTGGTCCTTGTCTCACCTGGTCCTAAACTAAGTCTCACTTGATCCTTGCCTCACCTGGTCCTAAACTAAGTCTCACTTGGTCCTTGTCTCACCTGGTCCTAAACTAAGTCTCACTTGGTCCTTGTCTCACCTGGTCCTAAACTAAGTCTCACGTGATCCTTGTCTCACCTGGTGCTGGACTCTCCTCCTGGTCTCTTCTTCTGTGATGAGGCTGAGTTGGAGGGCGGCCATCTTCTTCACCCTCTGCTCCTCCTCCGTCTTCTGCGACAGGAAGTGAACACGCTCGCGCAGGAAGTCCAGGGTGTCGCCACGGTGACCGCTGCGTCTGGAGGCTGTCGCGGCAGCAACCGAGTGGACCGCGGTGATCCAGGCCTCGAGGTCCGACTGAGACCCGGCCTGAGGGAAGACCAACACCAAGATTTAGACAGAGAGACCACAACATGCTGTCATCATTAGAAAACATGATGTCTTCTAAGAAAGATCCGTGTGAGTCACTATTTGACTCCTTGGGCTGAGAGCTGATTGGCTGAGTGAGGGTGGTCCTCTCTTTGTCACTTTTTTGTCTAAAATAATTGATCTAAAGATGCTTGCGACAGAAGCAACTGTTTTAGGGCCGGAAATAGAGACATGGGTTTAATACAGAGTTCTCTTGTGGTCTGAAAGTTACGTACCTCAGCTTTAATCTCTTTCTGCCTTGAAGTGTGACCGGACAGAGACGTAGTGGGACAAAATGCTTGTTCTAACCCTTTAATTACATTCATTGATTTGTTTATTGATCGTGTCCGTCTCCATGGAAACAGCTGTAACAAGCTGCAGCAGCGAGTTTCACTAATTAGAAATAACATACAGAGATGTCCTGCTTTAGACCTAATTTAGTCCTGCTTTAGCCCTGCTTTAGTCCTGGTTTAGTCCTGCTTTAGTCCTGGTTTAGACCTGCTTTAGTCCTAGTTTAGACCAGCTTTAGACCTGCTTTAGTCTTGGTTTAGACCTGCTTTAGACCTGCTTTAGTCCTAGTTTAGACCTGCTTTAGTCCTGCTTTAGACCTGTTTTAGTCCTGCTTTAGACCTGCTTTAGTCCTAGTTTAGACCTGCTTTAGTCCTGCTTTAGACCTGTTTTAGTCCTGCTTTAGACCTGCTTTAGACCAGCTTAGTCCTGCTTTAGTCCTAGTGTGAGATTTCATAACACTTTTAAGCAACTTTTGTCTATCTGAAGGCCAAGCTACATGGCACTGTGGCAGCTGCTGATTGGCGGTCTCCATGCCTCCGCTCTGTATAATACACTTGCATTCTGTTGTTCGTGCTGTCTCTACCATCGACAATAAAACATGTCTTCTGTCGGAATTAAAGACGCGATCCCAGACTATGTCATCTTCTTAGACCCAGTTTAGACCTGGTTTAGAGCTGCTTTAGTCCTGGCTTAGGCCTGCTTTAGACCTGGCTTAGGCCTGCTTTAGACCTGGCTTAGGCCTGCTTTAGATCAAAATAATCTTTTGCTTTGGCATTTCCACTCCTCTGGTCACTCCCCTCCTCCTCTCTCCATTCAGACCCAGGGGACAGATGTCGAATGGGGGCCACAGCGAGCCCCCTCCCCCTGGGTCTCTAAGAAAACCAGTCAACACAAGAACTATTGGAGTCCATCTGAACATCTGCTGCTCTGCATACATTACAGCAGCCTTCACTCACGAGTCCAAAGAGTCAAATAGTGACTCACAGGGCTCTTTCTTACGCAGAAGATGACATATATATACAGTTGCACGCTTTGGGGAAGGCGAGGGCCGCTCATTGCCACTTGCGGCTCTATTTCATGTTTATTATTGTCATCTGTCGGACTGTTCTTTTCCCCCACATTTTGCAGTAAAATTGAGCCAAAAGGGAATCATCAAAATTCTTAGATGAACAAAACACATATCAGGGTTACATAATGATTCTACTACAGGCTTTTATCTCTCTGGACTCTGCTCTCTCTCTCTGGTCTCTCTCTGATCTCTCTCTGTTCTCTCTCTGATCTCTCTCTCTGTTCTCTCTCTGATCTCTCTCTCTGCTCTCTCTCTCTGGTCTCTCTCTGGTCTCTCTCTGGTCTCTCTCTGATCTCTCTCTGCTCTCTCTCTCTGTTCTCTCTCTGTTCTCTCTCTGATCTCTCTCTGATCTCTCTCTGTTCTCTCTCTGATCTCTCTCTCTGTTCTCTCTCTGATCTCTCTCTGGTCTCTCTCTGATCTCTCTCTGTTCTCTCTCTGATCTCTCTGTTCTCTCTGATCTCTCTCTCTGCTCTCTCTCTCTGGTCTCTCTCTGGTCTCTCTCTGATCTCTCTCTCTGCTCTCTCTCTCTGTTCTCTCTCTGATCTCTCTCTGGTCTCGCTGGTCTCTCTCTGGTCTCGCTCTGGTCTCTCTCTGGCCTCTCTCAGGTCTCTCTCTGGTCTCGCTGGTCTCTCTTTGGTCTGCCATGTTCTCTCCACCCGCTCCCTCTGGTGGTTCTTCTCCCTGTCTGCCTCCACACCCTCAGCTCTGACATAACTGAGAATGTGGAATGTTGGAAATGTCCACGACACAAACAGACTGTGGTTAAAATCGTCCGCCGCAGCTGCAGAGGCATGTGTGCTCCGTGCTCATCTGTGCGACACACACACAACCTGTCTCCTCCACAGCCTCATTCACACTGCGGGTGTGTCAAATCAACCGGCATTTAACCCGCCTTGCGACCTAGTCTTTCTGACCTAAACTGTGTAAACTCTTTGCTGCTGCTCACATGAGGCTCAGAGAAAGAAGGTTCTAACACTACACACGTCACACCAGGAGCAATACTCTGCAGAACGACAGCGTAACGAGCCGTGGAGCTGAGTTTGGGTGAATGGACCTCAGAGTCAGAGTTTGGGCTGGGGCACATGCTGCAAGTTTGTTGGAAAATGTACAACCATGTGGATGGATGAGAAACTCAGTCGTCCATCGTAATGGGATTCCCTCTGGTCTCTCTCGGGTCTCTCTCTCTGGTCTCTCTCTTGGGTCTCTCTCTCGGGTCTCTCAGATTCAGAGTCAAATAATGAAAGCATAATATGTCTGATTTGTAGAAAACATTTTCTTTTAAGACTCTTTGGATAATCTACATGTGTTACATTCTAAAGTTACTAAAGTTAAAGTCCTGTACCTGCAGCAGATAGACCTGTCCCAGTGCGTTGCTAACACAGAACACATGCTCTTTGGTGGGGTGTTCTGGTACCGGCTGGACCAGACTGTCCCACACCCTGAGCTCCAGGACTGGACCCACATGGTCCCCCTCTCCAAGCAGAGTCCTTACTCCCACAGAAGGATCCAAGTCCTGCTCCGAGTCCTGGTCCAGAGTGGGGCACTTGAAGAACTGAAGCCAACAGCCTGAAAAGAAAATAACTGGTTTAAACCTGCTTTAGACCTGCATTAGTCCTGCTTGGACCTGCTTTAGACGGGTTTTAGTCCTGCTTTAAACCTGATTTAGTCTTTTAACTCAACCAACACACCCAAGACCCTATCTCTGGCCCGGTCCTGGTTCGGTCCTGGTCTCACCTCTCAGCGTGACCCAGTATTTCTTCCACTTCCTCCATGGCACCAGTTCCAGTTGGTCCTTGTTCAGTTTGATCAGAGGTTTAATCCAGATCCAGCCGGCTCTGCGGACCACAGCTCGGTCCAGTCCCTGGTCCCAGTCTTGTCCATGGTCCCGGTCTAGTCCCTGGTCCTGGTCTATTCCAGGTACAGAGTCTCGGTCTGAGGAGGTCCTGGTGGAGGTGGACTTGGACTCCAGATCGGGCCTGAAGGTCTGGTAGAGGCTGAGGCGTTGGTCTTGCCTGGACTGAGTCTGGTTCAGGGTCGGGATTTGAGGGAAATCCGGGTTTAACAACCAGATGCTGACGTCTGGCTCCTGCTAGAAAACAAGACCGTTTAGACTTGGCTCAGACCTGTTTTTGTTCTGGTAAAGACCTGATTTAGACCTGGTCTATAGTTTCTCACCTGGACTCGCCTCTTCTTGATCCTCAGACTCCCGGTCCAGTCGCTCCACTTCCGGACCCTGGTTTTGCTGAGGTCCTTGGTCTCGGTCTCCTTCAGGACCAGGTCTGGGGAGGATCCTGGACTCTCCCCGAAGCCGCTGTCCTGACACCAGCTGTGGCTCAGATCCACCTCACTCTTCTCTGCGTTCTCTCCTGAACTCAGACTCCCGTTTCTGACGCTGGAAACTTCCGGATCGCCGAGTCTCTCAACGAGACCCGAGTTTGAATCCAAGCTTTGTTTTGATGTCTGTCGCTGGCTCCTGATTGGTTGGTGAGGCTTCCGGTAGTTCCGCCCACTCTGTCTGTGGCCACGCCCCCACCAGGTGAGTGTGGGCTGAAGCTCCGCCCCCTCGCAGGTAAAGGTACTGTCGCCGTTTCCCATAGTTATCTGCAAAAGCACACATATCATTTTTCTGACTTAGGAAATAATATGTATTCATATTTCTCTGAGATAATAAATATTTCTCTGTAGGGTTGGGAACCTCAGGGTACCTCACGATACGCTAAGATAAGCGATGCAAAGCTCACGATAACAATTATGTCACGATATGACAATTATCAATTCATTGGTCAGAAATATACTGTTATAGAAATATTTTAGTAAAGCATCTGAATAAACACAAAACAGTTGTAAGTGTAAGTTATTATCTAATTCTGATCTCTGGATTCAGATACAGCACATATGGTCTGTTGGCAGCAGGTCAGTGATAGATGGAGATGTGTTTCTTTGGCAATATCTGGGTCATTCAACAATATGTTCAGGTCAGAGCAGATTATTACGAGATGCGTAATGTGGCCATATATTAAATATTGATACAATATTTTTAGATATTTTTTTTTTTAAATAAAATAAAAAAAATAAAAAAATCGATACTTGGCAAAAGCATATTGATAATCGATCGCGTGAGAAAGTATCACGTCACACTTCTATTTATCTGTCATTCCTGAAACAATCATGAAACAAAAACTGCAATTATCAACTAATTAACTAACTGGTCTCTCTTTCTCTCTTGTGTTTTTCTGGTCTCTCTCCGGTCTTTTTCCCTGGTCTCTCTCTCTGGTCTCTCTCTAGTCTCTCTCCCTGGTCTCTCCCTGGTCTCCCTCTGGTCTCTCTCTCTGGTCTCTCTCTCTGTGGTCTCTCTCCCTGGTCTCCCTCTGGTCTCTCTCCTGGTCTCTCCCTGGTCTCCCTCTGGTCTCTCCCTGGTCTCCCTCTGGTCTCTCCCTGGTCTCCCTCTGGTCTCTCTCCTGGTCTCTCTCTGGTGTTTCTCTTTCTGTAGCCCTCAGTTCTGCTCCTTCAAAAGTGTTTGGGGAAAGTAAAGTCTCTTATAAACATAAACTTCTAAGTCCTTTATTGTATCTCGTCTCATGAATCGAGATACAGCGGCAGTTATTACAGTCTGTGCTCATAGTAGAACACAAAGACCATAAATGCTTAGATCCTGGTTTGCTATAAGTCTCAGTCTCATGTGGAAAGTGGTGATGTCACGACTGGAAAAACAGAATAATCTTTGGTTTTAAAAATTGGGAGAACTCCACATGGATCTCACAGTTTCCCGCCCAAACGCAGAGGCTAATCCGTGTTCACGCCTAATGCTAACGCTAACAATGCTAATCCAATTAAAGGTTTAAGATCAATGTTTCCAGGTGTCATCACTACGTATTATTAACCTGCGTGTGTCTTAAAGAATAGTGTTAAAGCTGAGGTCTGTAACTTTCAGACCACAATAACAGAACTCTGTATTAAACCCATGTCTTTAGCTCTGGCTCTAAAACTGTTGCTTCTGTCACTAATTTCATGTACCGCTGTCATATCTTTAGATCGAAGAGGACCACCTTCTCTCAGCCAATCAGCTCTCAGCTCAAAGAGACAAATAGTGACTCACAGGGCTCTTTCTCATACACAAAAAAATCTAATTCCCCCTTTCCACCAGCCGTACATGACTCTACTCTACTCTACCACAGAGACCGGAGACCAGAGAGAGACCAGAGAGAGAGAGAGCTGCGAGAGTACCAGAGAGAGAGGGAGCAGAGAGAGACCAGAGAGAGACCAAAGAGAGACCAAAGAGAGACCAGAGAGAGAGAGACCAATAAGAGAACAGAGAGAGCGAGACCTGCAAGAGTACCTGAGAGAGGGACCAGAGAGAGGGAGAGAGACCAATAAGAGACCAAAGAGAGAGAGAGACACCAGAGACAGAGGGACCATAGAGAGACCAGAGAAAGAGAGAGAGAGACCAATAAGAGACCAGAGAGAGAGAGAGAGAGACCTGCGAGAGTACCTGAGAGAGACCAGAGAGAGAGGGACCAGAGAGAGACCAAAGAGAAACCAGAGAGGGAGACCAGAGAAAGAGAGAGAGAGACCAATAAGAGAACCAGAGAGAGAGAGACCTGTGTACACTGCATACAAATAGTAATAGTTTTAGAGAGCGGGCAGAGACCCAACTCTGCGTCTCTGCTATCCACAAAAGCACAATTTTAACATAAAATTCTGCAAAATGTGTCCAGTCACCACAGAGCAGGTCTGAGCACAAAATATCCCTTTGGGGAAAAATGCAAAATAGATCCAGGAATAGTAACGGTCACATTTATGTACACTTCTCTAACAACAGTAGTCTCTCCAAACAAGTGGAGGAGGACACACTCAAAGACAAACACACACATGTTTACGGACAGAGAAATGGAGATGAGCTGCACTGCTGTAACATGTTCAGAATCTATGTGTGAACACGCAACAGCACAGAATGAAAATTAGATTAAGTGGTTTGCCAGTCAGTAAACACATATTCTTCTGTTGCAATCTCTCTCTCTGGTCTCTCTCTCTCTGGTCTCTCTCTGGTCTCCCGCTGGTCTCTCTTTCAGGTCTCTCTCTCTGGTCTCTCTCTGGTCTCTCTCTCTACTCTCTCGCTGATCTCTCTTTCAGGTCTCTCTCTCTGGTCTCTCTCTCTCTGGTCTCTCTCTCTACTCTCTCGCTGATCTCTCTTTCAGGTCTCTCTCTCTGGTCTCTCTCTCTCTGGTCTCTCTCTCTCTCTGGTCTCTCTCTGGTCTCCCGCTGGTCTCTCTTTCAGGTCTCTCTCTCTGGTCTCTCTCTCTACTCTCTCGCTGGTCTCTCTTTCAGGTCTCTCTACTCTCTCTCGCTGGTCTCCCTCTTGTCTCTCTCTGGTCTCTCTCTCTACTCTCTCGCTGGTCTCTCTTTCAGGTCTCTCTCTCTACTCTCTTTTGCTGGTCTCCCTCTTGTCTCTCTCTGGTCACTTTAAAGTGGTCCATCCTGGCCTCTTTCAGTCCAGGCTTGAGCCTCGGTTCCCACATTAAGCTGTTGTCCTGTTTTGGTCCAGTTGTAGTCCAGTCGTGGTCCTGTTGTGGTCTTACTTGAGTCCAGTTGTAGTCTCTGTAATGTTCCTCACCTCCGCTCTGCTCCCTGCTTCATGCTGTGTCTCTCACGCTCTGTCTGTGTTTTCCACTGTCAAATCCAGCTGCCCTGCGCACTCTCTCTCCCCCTATTTCCCCTTTTTATCTTACTCGCCCACTTTCTCTCCCCCTATAGTCTCCTATTGTCTTGCTCGCCCATCTCGTCTTCAGCACTTTCTCTCCCCTTATCTTCTTCCATTGTTTCTTGCTCAACCGCCCCTCCTCTTTGTCCTTTCTCTCCCCCTATAGTCTCCCATGGTCTGGCTCGACCACTGCTTCCTTCAGCACTCTCTCTCCCCCTATCCTCTTCTGTTATGTCACTCGTCCATCCTGTCTTCAGCACTCTCTCTCCCCCCATCCCCTCCCTTTACGTCGCTCGCCCCTCTCCATACGTTTCCACTCATTACAATGGTCTCTTTTTAGCCCCACACTTTTGGGAACATTTCTGCTTCTGGAACATAGTCTGTCTTTGTGCTGGTCTGCGCCACATGGTTTGGGTGGATGTGTGTTTAGGCTAAAATAATATTATTGTAGGTGCATATCTGGGGTTTTAAATGAGTTTATTTTTGGACATATTTCTCAGGTTTTGTTATGGTTTAGTCCTGTTTGTCTTGGATTCTGCTGATGTAGGAGTTTAGACTACGGTCGTTTTAATACATGGAATTTATACATTATGAACAAGCCACCAGCCCTACTCTACTCTACTCTACTCTACTCTACTCTACTCTACTCTACCCTACTCTACTCTACTCTACTCTACTCTACTCTACTCTACCCTACTCTACTCTACTCTACTCTACTCTACTCTACTCTACCCTACCCTACTCTACTCTACTCTACTCTACCCTACTCTACTCTACTCTACTCTACCCTACTCTACTCTACTCTACTCTACTCTACTCTACTCTACTCTACCCTACCCTACTCTACTCTACTCTACCCTACCCTACTCTACCCTACTCTACTCTACTCTACTCTACTCTACTCTACTCTACTCTACTCTACTCTACCCTACCCTACTCTACTCTACTCTACTCTACTCTACTCTACCCTACCCTACCCTACTCTACTCTACTCTACTCTACCCTACTCTACTCTACTCTACTCTACTCTACTCTACTCTACTCTACTCTACTCTACTCTACCCTACTCTACTCTACTCTACCCTACTCTACTCTACTCTACTCTACTCTACCCTACTCTACTCTACTCTACTCTACTCTACCCTACCCTACCCTACCCTACCCTATCCTATCCTACTCTACTCTACTCTACCCTACTCTACTCTACCCTACCCTACCCTACCCTACTCTACTCTACGCTACTCTACCCTACTCTACTCTACCCTACCCTACTCTACTCTACTCTACTCTACCCTACTCTACTCTACCCTACTCTACTCTACTCTACCCTACTCTTACTCTACTCTACTCTACCCTACTCTACTCTACTCTACCCTACTCTACTCTACTCTACCCTACTTTACTCTACCATACCCTACTCTACTCTAGCCTACTCTACTCTACCCTACTCTACCCTACTCTACTCTACTCTACTCTACCCTACTCTACCCTACTCTACTCTACTCTACCCTACTCTACTCTAATCTACTCTACTCTACTCTTTTCTACGCTATTCTATTCTACTCTACTCTATGCTACTCTACTCTACTATACTCTACCCTCTCTGGTCTCTCTCAGGTCTCTCTTTGGTCTCTCTCTGGTCTCTCTCTGGTCTCTCTTTGGTCTCTCTCTGGTCTCTCTCTGGTCTCTCTCTGGTCTCTCTCTGGTCTCTCTTTGGTCTCTCTCTGGTCTCTCTCTGGTCTCTCTCTGGTCTCTCTTTGGTCTCTCTCTGGTCTCTCTCTGGTCTCTCTCTGTTCTCTCTCTGGTCTCTCTTTGGTCTCTCTTTGGTCTCTCTCTGGTCTCTCTCTCTGGTCTCTCTCTGTTCTCTCTCTGGTCTCTCTTTGGTCTCTCTTTGGTC